AAAAATTAGTCCAAATAAATCGTAGGTACTAGGTATGTTTTGTAATATTACACTTAGCTTTCTAAATCGCAGTCTTTGTCTATATTAATAAATGCTTTGTTGATCTTAAAGATTTCAATAAAACAATTGTTTGATTTGGTTTTTCTTAAATAGTTGGTCGGTGATTATTAAGGCCTACAAAATTTAACCATAGGTCCTATTCGTATTATTCTCCTTCTTCTTGTATAGTTTGATTGTTTTATAATGTATTTTACATCGCTTTTAAAACGTTATGAATGCAAAATAAAATGATCTTGTCTCAGCTGTCTGAGCAGTGTAAAGACAAAGTGTATCGAAGTATTAAGGCTTTGACTTTAGGAGCTATTAAATTATGCGTAAATTATTGGTCCTGCGCCTGATCTCTCTCTGGCCCTGTCAGATTGCGATTTAATGTTTGAGAGTACACCTGTGCTTGCGCATACATTCGGGCACTATAATTCTGTTCTGCGCAGATAGGCTAGTCTCCGTTGAGACTGGCCGCTGTGACAGAAGTTCAATTAGGAGGATACTCAACTCAACCTAACACAACTCAATCCTACACTAAAATCATGATAATCACGAGGAGTGCGTCGGTTTATCAGAGGATCATACTGATGACTAAGTGCTGTTAGGCGAGGCAATTAAATTTCTTTTAAAAATTTTAAATCTTAATTGCTGCATTCATGTGTTATTGATAATAAATATTGAATATATTTCATATAGTTTGATCACTTAAGTACGTAAAAATAGTACCTACTTAGGCGTCAATATCCTTTCATAGTAAAGTAAGGCCTACTGGAAAGATTTTTAGAAATGTTTAATTTTGCTTTTCTTTATGGTACATGTTACAAACTTTTTTAATTTATATATTATTAATTAATAGAATCAGGCGTTACTTTGCGGATATTCATTATATTAACGTTGGTAAAAATTACCTCGCGTACATCCGCTCGTTAAAATGAAATGATAATTTTTCCCAACTTTATTATATATTATTGTTAAAATCTGCTGACCAAATTGCATTTTTTTTTCGTTTTATTTCAAATTTTCCTTGGCTAGGCCTTATTACCCGCGGGTACTTTATATATATATATATATATAAAATAATCAATAAAGTTACAGTCCTTTTCCAATTGCAGGGTTTAGTTATTCACCAACACAGCTACTGTGATACGCGTAGAATTATTTTGTTTTATAATTTTATGTACCTAATAAGAAGAATAATTTAAACTAGTGGCTGCACAGAGTTCGAACTACAAGCGGCAATTATATGTTTCATATTGGCAGTCTGAACGTAAACAATATTTAATTTAATTTAATTGTAACACATATTATATATAGCTTTCTGCACTCCTTCTCCATATAAACTTTAACTACGACAAATCTCACACTCTTCAGTGCGCGCAATATGCTTAAATAGGGTTACGAAGTGGTCCCTTCACGTATTAACATATACAAAACCAAATACAAAATTTGTTAAGTTTTACGCAGTTTTATTTAATAACCTTCATTTAAATAAAGGAATTTCAAACAGTAATAAACAATTACCCATCGCTATGTCCCTCACTCCACTGTGCGTATCCCTCGCATAGCTGTAACAAAGCTGAGAACAGTTCCTCGGGAGGCAAATCTATTTCATTCGTACTTCTGTTATCCCTTTTTCTTCGCCCGTATGATGCAAACTGTGCTGGAGGTCTTTTAATTGCCGCATTCACCAAAAATGACGAACCCGTTGTTCCATTGTATGCTTGCTTAGATTTCACCGCTTGCACAATTAGACAAAGTAGGTAACCGCCAAAAGCCAGAAACGCCAGTGTCGTTACAGACATGGAAAACATGTTACTTAATTTGTCACTACCTTCCTTTTTATAAAGTCCATGTCCATAATCTATTCTCTTGATTGGTGGCGCCTTTATAGCCATTGCTTGAGCGCCAAAATTTTCAAAGGTTGGCTCTGCAACTGTAACATTATTATATTCAGTACTAACAAAATCTTGCAGTGAATTCTTCAGCCTTAATAGTTTTTTTAAAGGCAACTCATTAAGTAATTGTATTTCTTCCGTAGTTATATCAGCATTTGCAAAACAAATCAAAGTATACATATAGTATAAAAAAAATGTAATAAAAAGTAAGTAAGCCATGGTGTACGCAGTTAGACTGTTGGCTGCGAAATAATGATTTAGCTAACGATGAAGAAGAAACAGATCATCGCGGTCTACGAAGCACGATAGTTGAGCAGCGGTTACAGATTCAGGTCAAATCTGATGTCAAAGATATGTATTGTAAAAAATACCATACAAACATACAATGCAGTAGATACATACCTATATTTTAGACGACTACGCAAAGCCAGAAGGAGGGTTATGATTTTAGCAAGCTAATATGTATGTATCTATGTATGTTCTTCTTCTTCGTGATATCACTATTATTTATTCTGTGGTGATATAGACTACCATAGTATTACAAAAAATGTATTACTGGTTGAAAGGTAAATGTAATATTAGTTTACCCCTAAATATCTGCTCAATCATCAAATTGTATCGAACAATGCCACTGTTGCCTGCGAAATTAGCTTAGTTTGTTCATATTCTACGGAATGATCTACTCTTCTTTTTACGCTTTATGTTACTGTGCATGGAATATTATTTCTGTGTTGCTGCGCATGTGTAACCAACTCTCTTTATTTCGTGATTTGTGTATATCTGTTCTCAAACAATACACGTGAAGTAAATGGTATCTGACATCTGATGTTGAATGCCTATTTTACGTACAGTGTGATTCAATATACCTACTCAAATGTAGCCGAATAGAACGTAACAAAGATTTTGTTTCAAAATATTATTACCCTATTATTCGTATTCCTAACAATTCATAGCGCTGGTTCAATCTTTGGTAACGTTAGCTAAATCTAATTTTTAATTATTCTAAATCATCATTTTGGTTACAAGAGTGAAATGGCAATTTGAATGCGTTTTCCATGAATTGTTTTTTTAATCTAAACAAATAAATAAAATTGACGTGTCTGTTTCTAATGTTAAAATAACAGCTTTTTACTAAATGCATATGAAAGTATATATGGTACTAATAACAAAAACAATTTTTAAAATTTTGTCTGTTTGTCTGTCTGCTTGTTCCGGCTAATCTCCGTAACGGCTGGACCGATTTTGACGGAACTTTCACTGGCAGATAGTTGATGTTACAAGGAGTAACTTGAATACTATTATTTTAGAAAAAGAATTAGGGTTCCGCGCAAAAAAAAACGAAAAACCATGAAATCGTAGTAAATTCAACGCGGGCGAAGTCGCGGTGGACAGCTAGTTAATAAATAATATAATTATCAATTTGAATATTGTTGAATTTAATGCTGGAATTTATTACCAATATAAAAGTTCATACTAGATTTTCTTTAAATATGGTTTATACTAATTGAAAGAGCACATAAATTTATAAGAAAAACGAGTTTGGGCTCCACGGAATTTCATGTAAGATAAGTGCTGCTGGTAGGTAGGTTTTCACGGCACGGTTCTTTGAACGATGTTATGCGAAGAGTTCTTGTGTCTATAAATGTCCCCTCGGTTTTAGAGCCTTGTCGAATATTTAGAGACGACGGCAGCAGACCCGACGGAATGACATTGGTCCCATGGGAGAGATGTGGGATGCTACTTGCGTAGAAACTTTGGCAGCCTCTCATCTCAGGGGTACCTCGTTTAAAGCCGGGGCGGCATCAGAGGCAGCTGAACTGAGTAAGTGGCGCAAATATGAGTATCTGAGGGATGACTATACATTTGTGCCATTTGCTGTAGAGACTATCGGTCTGTGAGATCTACGTGCGGTGAAGTTCCTAAAGAAACTCTATCCGCGACTGGTCATTGCTGATGGTGATAAGAGGGTTGGTTCTTTTCTCGCTCAAAGGCTAAGTATAGCCATTCAGCGGGGAAACGCAGCCAGCACTTCTTGGCACGATACCACGGGGAGTATGACTGTATGATAATTAAGTTATTAGTTTTTTTTTTATTTTAGTTTTTAAATATAAAATAGAGTTAATGGGGCTCTACAAGCTATTATGAAGAGTCAGAATGTGTCAAAGAAGGCACGTATGGCAATTCATAATGGTGTGTTAGTCCCTACTTTAATGTATGGTAGTGAAAGTTGGGTATGGCAGAAGAAGCATGAGAGTAGAATAAAGGCTGTAGAAATGCGATCATTACGTAGTATGCTAGGGCTGAATCTGAATGACAGGGTGAGAAATAGTGTGATAAGAGAAATGTGTGGTTTGCAAAATGACGTTGTGACTAAGATTAAAAAAGGAATGCTTCGGTGGTTTGGTCACGTAGAAAGAATGAACGAGGAAAGAGTGACAAAGCAAATATTTTGTTGTGTTGATGTTTCAGATGTTGTTGTTGTGTTTCAGAATGTTTCATAAGTGATGTTTCAGAAGTGAACGGCAAAGTCGGGAAAGGACGCCTTAGACGAAGATTTATCGATCAAATCGGCGATACATTGAAAATGGGCCAGATTAGGACTACGCTTAACCGACGCGCGTGTATGCGTAGATATATGGATGTAAAGGAGGCGAGAGAAGTGTGTCAGGATCGCGCCAAATGGAAGTCCGTAGTCTCTGCCTACCCCTCTGGGTAACAGGCGTGAGTGTTTGTATTGTATATTGTATTGTATTTTTTAATATTGTATATAAACTTTTATCCAATATAGAAAAAAAACTCAATATTAACGCCATCTAGCGAAGTAGACATAAGTACATATATATCACAAAATTCTAGTAATGTGGAACATTTAAAAGGAAATCAAAATAAGGAAAAAATAAAGTAAAATAAAACAACATGTATTACAACAAGGAGAATGTTATTAACTATGAGTTTTCTGCTCTAGTGCGACAGTTGCGTTTGCGCAGCCATTACGCTGAGAAACGATGCGTGGTCTCTACATGTTGCCGAACTCATTGTGTTCTCACCGTTTGCCTCAAGATGGCGTCGAGTGTTCTGTTTCTCTTGTTCATTACACTGCCAGTATCATTTGCAAAAGAAAATTATAGACGGGAAGGTTTTTTTGACCGATTAAGCACTGGGATGAAATTTGCACATGACTTCCTAGGTAAGAAGCATTTTTTTTTTATTATAATCTCCTTCGATTTGCACTAAACAACAAAAGTTCAAAGCAATTTTTTTAACGATCTTAAAACCAAGTTTTAAAATTTAATACAATGTTTTTAGCAATTTTACTGCACAGAACACAATATTGTAGAGTATTTTATACGTGGTAGAGCCATGCTGAAGATATTAATAGTATAGTTGTAGCACGAATGGGTCGGCTCGACCGGGGAAGGGCCACGCTCTCACAGAATACCAGCGTAAAATAGCAGTATAACACTACTGTGTTTCGTATGGTGAGTGTAGAGAACCGGAGACCCTTTTTACTGGAAAAGAGGCATTCCATCTGAGTCCTCACGGATGACAACGCATCTGCATTTTGATTCTTTATTAAGGAAAGATGTAGATGTTTATGGGTCACGGCAACCACTTACCACCAGGAGGACTGTGTGCTCTTTTGTCGCCCTATCCTATAAAAAAAGTATACATACCTCATTAGGTCGAAGTACTTCTTTTCTGCCTAAAACTCTGTCTGGATAGGTAACACCCTCTAAACTATTCCTGCCAACAAACAGTAGGGTTGCTGTTTCCCGGTCTAAAAGCATTCCATGTTAGCCCTCAGAATTGACAAAGGGCATCTGCAGTCCTCCTTACTTCAGCTTCTTTATTTTAAGTTGGTTGCCATGGGCTGCAGTAGCCGTTTACCATCAGGTGGTACCTAAATTCGTTAGTCATTTAAATTTGATTAAAAAAAAGAACCTATGTTATGGGGCCTATACACCATCGGCCATGATTGACAACCACAGAATGGGGCATGATTGTCACAATCATTGCGCGGCTGCCCACACAATCGTGCATCCTACATACGTATATTTGTATTTTTTTCTGTCCGAGATGGACGTTGAAACAGTAGCAGCTGCCGCTATTTATTTTAATTAGTTTATAATATAATATTATTGAAATATAGACCATAACAGAGTGGTGATAAAAAAGGAAGTTGTTCTATTTTTACTTGTTCTATTTCGGTGTATGTTAACTATACACCGAAATAAAACAAGGTAAGTTTATAGAATATCGGCGTTCGGTGATCATGTAGACGCGCGCAGGATCATGGCCGAACTTCGTTTGATGTTTGTCCGAAAAGCCGACACAGCGGCCATTACGCTCAATCATTACCGATCATGGGTAGTAAAAAGCGATTATGCCCTCTACACGATCATGATCGCTAGAATTCGTCCATCATGGCCGATGGTGTATAGACCCCATTAGATACATGAAGTCAATGTGAAGCAGATAATTTCGATTTAAATGCCTAATCGTTGATTGGAAATTCGTTTGAAAACTTGTTTAAAAGACAAAAATTTGTAAAATTGAGAGACAAAAATATGCCTTTTTACTTCGTATTACCTAAATATATTTCTCATGTTGTAGGTTCGGAGTCTGTAGCTCTAAAAGTAGCCAATTTTGTGGTGCGAGCTTTCAACACTGTTAACAATCCAACAACGTCGCGTAAAAACCAACCGCATCCAATTAAAGATGAGTACACAGAAGACAGCGATGAGGATACATTCCAGGAAAATCAACCAAATACTAATCTTTACCAAACATCTAACTTTATGTCACCATGGCGGCACATTATCCGCCTTTTAGGATTACAACCAAATCAATTGAGCGCAGTTGCAGTAAACGCCCTTGTTTTTGTAGCACAAATGGTAAGTGAATTTCATTACACCAAATTTTAATAGTATTCAGGATTATTTCGTTTAAAGGAAGCGCCTTGTAATCTATACATATAAATAAAATTGAAATGTCTGTTTGTAATGTTATTAACTGGTTTCTATTTAGCTGGGCGGGTTATTTACTTGCTATTAAGACAAAAACAACCATTTAAAAAACTTTTTATAGAAATTTCAATAGAACCAGCATGGCGGCGATCATCTCATTCCCAGGAGTTATTTTCATTCATGTATTCCTTGAAAAAAATTTAACTTGTTTATTGACAAACTTAGAGCATTCTAGAATTTTTTTGTAGTGCAATGTATACTGCCCCATAAATGAATTACTAACTCTGTGGAATCTAGTAACTGGCATTACCAGCTTATGTTTGTTCCTAGTGTTTAAAGTACATCTTTATTCTTATCAAAGCTATTCATGTTTTTATGTACATACATTACATTTTCATAAATATATTGCTCTTTACTATTAAGTTATAGATCGCCCATACGGCCCTCTTCTAATAATGTTTTAATATCAATTGCGATACCCCATAGCAAAATTCCTAATGGCATTACACTATGAAAGTAACTATGTTAACTAATCTAGTTGTTGCGACATTGGTGAGACTTCTTCTCTTTCTTACAGCATTTGCTTTGGTACCTTATGTTTTGTTACTTAAATATGAAATAATAAGTCTAAGCGCAATATTTTTGACACCGTAATTTAATAGTTTCCTGATTCATGTCTTATGATCTGATAATAGTCTAATTCATCCGATAGTAATGTCTGATATAGGGCTCCAATGGCTACGGGTGCTGTAAAGCCCCCAAAACCTCGCAAATCTATACAAATAAATAAAATTGAAGTGTCTGTTTGTAATGTCAAAATAACAGCTTTTTACTAAAATGCATATGAAAGTTTATAGAGAACTTATTTTTAACTTAATTTTGTCTGTCTGTACGTTTGTTCCGGCTAATCTCCGAAACGGCTGGATGGATTTCGACGGGACTTTCACTGGCAGATAGCTGATGTTATAGGGAGTAACGTAGGCTACCTATATTAAAAAAAGAGTTAGGGTTCCGCCCAAAAAAATTAAAACACTAAATAATAAATAACACGCGGGCGAAGTCGCGGGGAACAACTAGTCTATATAAATGTATAAATTTAAATAAAATTTGTGTCTGTCTATTGTATCTAAATAACTAATTACTGTGAAGCTCCGGTAGTTATTTACTTGCTATTAAGACATGAATAAGCATTTTAAATTTTTATGGCTATCTATCTGGCCGCGCTAATCTTTGGATGGGCGAACCGATTGTGATGATACTTTACAAACAGATCAAGAGCAATTCCAGGAGTGGACTGGGCTATATTTTTTCCAAAAAACATGCAGATTTTATTTGTAACTAACTGTTCTCCGCGACTTCGCCCGTGTTTTATTTGGAGTTTTAATTTTTTTTGCTCGGTACCCTAATTCTTTTTCTGAAATAAAATTAGCCTAAGGTACTCCTTATAACATCAGCTGTGTGCCAGTGAAAGTCCCATCAAAAACGGTCCAGCCGTTTCGGAGATTAGCCGGAACAAACAGACAGACAAAAACTTTGAAAATTGTATTTTTGTTATTAGTACCATATATACTTTCATATGCATTTAGAAAAAAGCTGTAATTTTGACATTACAAACAGACACTTCAATTTTATTTATTTGTATAGATCAAGAAAAGCTGATTTATTTTTTATGATTATCTCATAAACTGTAGATTTAAAAGATTATTTATTTTAATAGAAATATGGGTCATCTATCCTCGATTAAAAAATAAAATACAGATGCATTGTCAAGCCTTAGGGCTAGGACGGAATGCATTTCTCGTTTAAAATTTAAAATCTCATCATTGGAAATAGTTATAAGCTATACGCTGCTATTTTACGTTCGTGTTCTGTGAGAGTGTGGTCCATCCCCGGTCACGTCGATACATTCGGCTATAACTATACCTGCACCTATTATAACTACAGCAGCTGTGGCTTAGCTCTATAAACGAATAAAACTTCTTAAGTTTACAATTTATCTACCCAAAAAGAAGTCCTCGCCTCTCACCTTCTTTAAGCAATATCTTTAAGCTTCTCGGAGAAAATATAACCTATATCACTCTTAGCATTGCTCTCTATCTATTTGTGATTTTTTAGTTTCCCGAATAGGCAAATAGGCAGACAGACAGATAGACTAGGAAACATTGTAAAACTGGTTATTAAAAAATCCCCTGATCTCAATAAAAGGCAGTTATTTCGCTACAATTTCAGTTAGTTACATATAGATATTTTCTCTTTTGCTACATAGTGATCGAAACAATAGCGAAAAAAAAAATTAGTTTAAAGTAGACCACTATTACACGAGTATGTTATTTTTTGTTTGAGGTCTACGCGGACGCAGGTAAATTAAGCCAGTTTAAATTAAGTGTCGCTCGTAGTTAGAATAAGTAATAGATACTAATAGATATAGATTTAATGGGTTTTTATACCACAGTCTACTTTTAATTACACAAAAAAAAAAGAGAAATAAATGGCATTAATACGTTTTTCAGATATCAACTTTCCTTTCCGGCTCGCTGCGGCCCGGCAAGACACATCGATCTGAAGATACTACAGCGTGGCTACTGAATAAAAATTCAAAACAGCTTCAAGACCTTATTACTGCTGCCAAAAACGATTCTCTACCAGATCATATCGAAGATCTTATTAATGAACAAGAGTCTGAAGAAGAGACAAGTTGTATACGTTTACTAGTTTGTAAAATAACACCTTTTATAATTAAAATGCAAAGTACAGTGTTCGGTAAAGACGACCCAGCAAGTAAAAACAATTTTTCCGATTCATCCGGTGCTGCAATACTTTACCGCCATCTACCGACAACAGAAGAAATTCATAGTCGTAGCGACATATGCGAAAGTCGATACAAGGGATGCAATTTGAATGAATAATTAATAAAAATTGTTGTTTTTTTTACTATGACAGTATCGAATATTTTTCTTTAAATAATAGTCTTAAGTTCTTTAAATATTTTCCTCTTGTGTTTTTTATATCACTACCAGCCAGTACAGTACTAACTAAGAGTTTTTAAACAGTCTACAACTAGACAGAAACAGAGGCCTTCATACATATATTTTTTCCTTTCATACATAACATAATATTGATGTTGATGTTATTTAAACACCTCTTTTCAAAAACATAATTAAAAAATATATGTTATAATACTACTTATTCATTTTTTAGAATAATTGAAAAATAATAACAGATAGGAAAACAATTTAATTTAAATTTATAACGAGACTCGATTGCTGCGATTGGCAGCAACATAATATTTATTAATATTTTTAATTATTCTTGCTATATAGCGCTTATGGCAATATGTTTGCATAACTATGAAAGTATCTAATTTATTTGAAATATGCAATTTACAATAAAACGGTACCCAAGTTTTTCAAAAAATTAAAAGTAATATAATATGCTGTCATTACGTGAATGGGTTCCATGTTCCATCTAACACCTTTTCGAAAGTTATAAAGCTAGCCTTAGCTAAGGTCGACGGCCGGATATAAATTGATTAACTAAATAGGTTTTCATTTCATATAATTTCATATTATATAACGTGTCTGCAATGCGAGACTGCGCGGCGTGAGGCATCGGAGTTTAGAGCAATACTTGTTATCAATTTTTTTTAATTTAAAAATATATTTTAATATTATTTATTACTTTTTATTAAATGAAATAATATGCTAAACTAAGGCTGCAGTGTGCAGTAATAACTTTAAATAAGCAATAATTAACTCGATTTATTTTGGTAAAAAACAATAAACAAGACATTGACGGCTCCATAGCGCAGTGGTAGTGGCATAGCAATGAGTTCTTGCGCTGAGGGCGACCCTCGCGGGTTCGAATCTCGCACGGTACAAGTATTTGTATGGCTAAGAAATAATTGTACCGTGTCTGTATGGTTGTCCTTGTGCAATTTATGTTTGTAAACTGACTACACGATACAGGAGAAAATCCTAGTGTGGAGGTAACGTTTTTTTAAAAAGCAAAATCCAGGCTTTGAAGTAATATGTACCTAGTACGAAATACATTATCTTTCAATAGGCCACGAGACAAACAAGGTATTTCTGTAATACAGCCAATTGGCTCTTTCTGTACTGGTCATCGGATTTTTTATATCTAAACTAATGATTATGATTGACAATCTGTGGTTCGAATTTATTGACATATTATGTTGTATTAAAATTCACAATGTTAATAAATACTTAAGGTACGTTAATTATTTTATACTAAAATTAATAATTAGTTCGTGTTCATATTAAGTGACGCAATATTTAGATAATAGTCGACAAACGGCCGATTTGGGTGCAGTGAGAGCCATTACATAAAATGTATTTATGTAGGCACAAAGAAAGTCGAGTAAACAGTGAATACTGGAAAGCATAAACGATCCGCATGCGACATAATGTGCTGCCACAAGAGTCGCTACTTTAGCAAAATAACTATTAGGATATAAAATAATAAGTTTTGATTATCTTCAAGAAACTCTATTTACACATTTTTTATAGCATAAGGGTGACAAACGAGCACACAGTCCACCTGATGGTAAGTGGTTGCTGTGGCCCATAGACATCTACATCTATCTTCGATTAAGAATCAAAATGCAGATGCGTTGTAACCCGTGAGGACTAAGATGGAATGTTGCATTTCCAGTAAAAAGAGTCTCCGGTTCTCTACACTCACCATACGAAACAGCAGCGTTAAGCTGCTATTTTACGCTAGTATTCTGTGAGAGCTTGGTCCTTCCCCGGTCGATCCGATCCATTCGTGCTACAACTATATTACTAATATAGCTGCAGCATGGCTCTACCACGTAAACAATATGCGACTATTTAATAATGTCGTATTTCAATAATAACGAACTAAGGTGTATCAATATAGTTTATTTTGTTATAATATAAACTTTAAGCTAAATTTCATGTAGGTAAAATAAATACGTTGGACAATCCGCAAACTAGGGAAGCTTCGGTTACGTAGTATATTATTTATTCTGTGCTCTCGGTAGAGAGTAATTGTGGTCTGTGATTTTGTGCTTAATACAATCGCCGTCCGTTAGCAAAAACTTGAAAAAGCAATTTTCAATAGTTTTTACATTATCGTTAACTAGAAAAGCAGTCCAAACCACAATACATGAAATGCTGAATACATGGATTAATTTCGATTAATAGCATTATAAATATGATAAGTGACCTAAAATATATCATTTATGAAATATTTAGTAAATTATTATGCTAATAACTTAAAGGACGCACGCTTCGTAAACACAAATAGTTTGTATTCACGTTATTCGTAAGAGAAAGTGAGCTTGGCGAAGCGGTTGCTGTAAAAAAGTAGCAAATTTTTATTTACAGAAAAAAAGTAGGTACCTACTCACAAATTACGGCCGTTCACCTTCGAGGATGAAATACGAAAAGAATTAGGCAGTTTTGTTAAAAAAAAATCTTACAATTTCAATAACGACAGAAAAAATGTAACAGAAGATGGGCAGCAGCATCTTCCTGAAAACAACTCAAAACAATAAAAAACTGCTTTTGCCAACCTGCTAGCCAAGAGTGGCAACTATGGCAAAATCCTCTCATGAGGCATTCTATAAGGGAGGCCTATGTTCAGCAGTGGACTTTTACAGGCAGTAATGGATGGAATGGAGACCAGGTCATCACTCCATTTAGTATTCGGTTACCGGTACAAGACTACCTTGAGAACCTTTCTTCCACATCGGTTGTCGGTTCTTCGAACTATATGATTCACTTTAGCTTACTGATCCGGTGAGCGCTTTCGGTAATTCTGTTTCTACTATGGACATCTTCATTACAAAGTCTATTACACAGTGAATCACCGAGTCGTGACAAGGTCGTGCTTTCTCTCTAATACGGCCAGCAGTGAAGGACTGCGTCTTAGATTCATATTATATCACCACTAGCAACATGCACTGGTCGTACACTCTTGTTGAAGTATATGTGAAGAGAAGATGTGTCATAATATTCCGAACGCTGGCCAGTCGTGTTGGATCCGCCGATTGATTTCTCGATAGAAATTAGACTTACCTAGTCGGACAATTTGTTCTTGATAAGCATATGTATAAAAAATTCGAGCGTAGTGCTAATAAAATAGAAAATAACACGGACATTAACATGACCTATATATGATTTATCCGCTGGGAGACACTATTGAGTTCATTGAGCAGGTCCTCCAGCAATTCTTAAGTCTTCTTTTTAAGAAAAAAAAAGAAAAAAAAGAATTCTGACATAATGACATATAATGTTGACAAATCAAACGTGACTGATGTACCCACTAGTCATTAATGTTGTTTTCAGCTCATTAGTTACACCTGTCTGAGTTAGATAGGTTTCGTACTCTGGTTCGGTGACCACAAATAACACAAACTATTGTAACGACGAAGCAAAAAGAAATTAATATAAAATTGCAGTAATTTCAGTCAGGTCATAATTATTGCAAGCGCTAAGATAACATAAACTAATAATTTTTAAATATTTATCTAGTGGCATCTTCACGAAAAAGTGCAGAAATGACTGCTCATTTGTTTCAACTTTCAGTCTCTAGTTCGACTGATTTTTTATAGTTTAAACTTATTTGCACTTTCTATTTTTAGCATCCACTTGGCACACACAATAAGAATATTCACGAATATTGAGACTTGCTAACTCTCATTACAATTTATGATGTCGCCATTTCATTACAAAAAATCTCCAAAAAAAAAAATAGGTGCATTTGTTTCTATGAAGAAGTTTGAGCTGGTGATACGAAGAGAATGTATAGGTAACCCGCCTGGTCAACTACGGAAATAATATGCCTAATCAAGCAATTTCTAAATATGTATACATATATACGTACTACACTTTACATGTCTTTTAAAAATTTCAAAGCTGTAGCTATTAACATACCAAGAATAATTTTCACAAGACAAAATATTTTTTTAATTTACAAATTATCTGAGAAATAATGATTCGAATAACTTACACGCCATTTAATATCTGCTACTTGAGAGAAATGCCTAGCCGCCTCGCGGGCGCAAGGACGGGTTATGTCGGACTCGCACCGACTTGAACCCCATGGTGTTCAACCTTCGCCGCATATTGGCAGGGTCACGGGAACGCTTTCGCACACATCCGCGGCCTTAACACCGCTGGCCGCCCCATGGGAGCCCCTCCTCGGGGGAGGACTTCTCCTCACCATTCTCCTTCTCAGATAAGGAGCATTAGGAACATAAGACACGCCTTCCCCACGGCCTCCAGCTCAACCTACGTAACGGGCCTCCCCGAGTCTGATACACGGAGGGCATGGGGCCAGGAAAATCGAGCGCTTGGTAGCACCCGCTTTCCCGACCCCATCGGCTGATCTGGTCTTTGGCACTCCGCCGCCAACCAAGTTTCGGCCGCGGAGGGTAGGGAGAGCAGCGCCTCGCAATACCGACACTAATCTCCCCCCGCGGCCTCCTCCACCACTTCAACGGTGCGGCCTCATCAGAGTCGCGGAGGATAAGGCTAGTTGCGCACCGCCATACAAACACTCTTCCTCCACAACTACACCTCGGCTGCAGCGGTAGGAGGAGAGGGCACCCCTCTTGTCGCAGCCCACGGAATACATTCGAAGTGGGCTCGCCAAGCCCACTCGAAGTGGCCACCTCGGGCTGGCCCTACACCACGGGCCTTTTGTGTGATAAAATCGGTTACTTGGTTTATTTGGAAAGTTCTTATGATGTTTTTTGTTTCTTAATCTTCTGATCTTCTTGATATCGCCTGTGCATTTTTGTCGTCTCGTGGCCTAATTAAGATATTTAATAGAATAATAGTAACAAACGAAGCGCACATTCCACCTGGTGGTTAGTGGATGCTGTGGCTTAAAGGCTATATCTATCCTCGATTAAGAA